TTACAGACATTTTAGATTCCAGGGTTTCAAATACATCATCGAGGTCAGTGTAAGTAACAGTACCACAGACATTCTTCTGGACTGTCGTGATTGGTTCTGCAGCAGGGATACTAGATTGACGATGTTGTTAGTTTCACAATATTCGAAGAGAATCAGAAGACTCACACAGAAGGTATTCCTTTCAGGATGTTTCGGAGCTGTTCACCTGGTGGTGTCGCAGAATCAACAATCTTGGTAGTACTATCAATTGGTGGAGGTCAGTCGGTGTGTAAAGTAATAATAAAAATTGATACTTACACCCATAGTGTCTTCGCCTCCTTAGCAGTATTAGGGGTTACACCTGGACTTTCTCTTGAGACGAAGAAAGTAAGTATCTGCCAGGATAGTCAAGAGTTGTACTACACACCTTAATTTGATCTTTTTCACAGGGGTAACAGGATCGTCAGTGGGACTTCGTGGACGGACAGACATTCTGGGTTTACAAGACATTGTAAGAGACAGCCTGCAATTTGAAGTAATTTGGTATTCGTTTGATTACAACACATGATAACTTCATCGGAACTTTTAGAATGCCAAAAATTGTTTAATGATAAATGTCGGGCATTTTACTAACAAATAAAGGTACTGTAACCTCGCAATAATTGCACCATAGTAGACTAAATTATATTAATGCCTGCACAGGCCCATATAGGGCTAAGCTATAAGAGATTTAGGGTAAGATAACCTATCAGAAAAGATGATAAGGGATTAATATTGGCATTAGAGCCTGGGTTCATATTGGCATTAAAGCCGGGATTTTTATTGGCATTAAAGCCTGAGTTTTTATTGGCATTAAGGCCTGGAGATACATTATTACAGCTGATAGTATGGGCAGGCGAGGTAGGAACAGGCAGAGGGCGATTCGACATGGTGGAGAGCGATAAGACGAAGCGAACGCAAAAAAAGGCGCTCGTGGGCAGAGGGCAATTCGGACACATGATGGACTGAGATAAGAAACCTACATGTGCAAATAGCACTAAACAAGCACACGCATAAATAAGCGCTCGTGGAATCCGAGATGACCGAGAAAAATTTCGTTACCTATTAGCGTAGGAACCAAAGCGGAGCTTCGGTAATGACAACAACCACAATGGGAAGCCTAAGCCCGAATGGTCAGCAGCGTCCACAGACACCCAGCCGCCGCTGCTCCCGCCGCTGCTGCAATGAGGCAACAGCAGCTTCTGCTTCTGAAGCTCCAGATGGCCTGATTAATAGAAGAAGCATTTTTTTTTTTTTTTCAGAGATTTTTTTTTTTTACAGAGCATATCCCCTGCAGGGGACTTAAGTACCTCCTCAACCCACCCAGCGGAGGGAAATACTAATGGTGTAGAGGGAAGAGCAGAAGAATCTAAGGAGCTGGGGAAGACGAATTTCAGATACGATTCCATCAAGAACTTTCATAGATTTGAGACAGCTTCCGTCTCAATTAAGGCATCCCATCATTTTTAATTTTGTTGACTTCAACTTTTGATGTTGAAGTCCTTTGAGTAACTTCTCACTGACTCAGGGGAAAAAGTCAATGGGATCCACACACTTGCTAGATTGTTGAAGCCAATTTGGACATGGGGCTATGATACTTTTTCAGCTTCACGTTTTTGATCGGGTCACTGGACTCAGTCAATGGGCACGTGATGGCGCGTTCAGGGCGGGATTTCTGGAAAGGAACCATGTGTGAATATTAATGAACTTCTTTATCAAAAAAATTCCTGTCATCAAATCAACGCGACCTCCTCCCGTCCTATGATTGCAAGACCGATACTTTCTTACTTATATGCACCCGCTGTTCCAATATATGCGGCTATGTACTGTGTCGGGGGGCGGGACAAAGTGTCTAAGGCAGCTGAAAAAAATGCTTTTTTCTATTAAATTTTGAGAATGAAATAAGCGGAATTAGTTGGTGCTGCAGAAGCAGAAGCTGCTAGCAGCGGCGGGAGAAGCGGCGGCTGGGTGTCTGTGGACGCTGCTGACCAAGCTGCTTGCTCGGGCTTAGGCTTCCCACAATGGCATGACTCTCGTGACCGCTCCGTCACCGTGACTATTACCGCCCCTTCTAATCAGATTGATTGCAGAAAATCGACGTTGCTCGACATTGAATATATACTATCTTCAATAATGCCAAGAACCAAATGCCAACGCTGAGAAACGCCTTCCATCAAGATGCAGCCTGAACGAGATGGGCCATATGTTTCCATACCGCGTCGGTTTTATGGGGTAGTGGTTAGCCCATGAGATTTTGAGGAGATCTGTTGCATAGATTAACGGAGTTCTTGGGTTTCTCATGACCCCGGTTCGAATCCGGGTAAGACCTTCTTTTTTCCCCTTCATTGTAATAACAATCACTTTTCAGATTTATTGCAAGATTCCAGATACAACCTTGTACCTATTTTACCCTTATAATCCATCATCGTACAAGTAAGGAGGTGGTAAGGATTATCTGAACCCGCTTGTCAATGACCCTAAACTGTTACTGCGTGAGTTACACCCGCAGATATCAGGAACATTGCAGTGTTCATACCAGTCAGAAGGAATATATACCACATTTAAAACGGGAAAACCCGGATCGCCATCTCTTCTTAATCGATTAAGGTCTAACGCCTCAAACGGTCGCAGTCTACTATGGTAAACTGGATCGTAAGAATGTCTTTTGCACTTCAATTGCACTATCTGTTGAAGCGTCGAAGAGGGCTTTTGGATAGAGTCCTATATCCTGCGATGAGTTCATCCTTTCGTCCGAGCATGGAATGAATGTAATGCCATTGTTATTAGGAGATCTTTAAATGAAATGATTCTGGTCGGTTCCCGAGGCGTAATATTTATCATACAGTCCAAATAGACGAATAGTATTATAAGGGAAATATCAATCTATAATACAACATAGATCAAAACCCCAAATAATCAGATAAGCATATGGATACATTACATTCCAATGGATATCTCAAGCCAGATCACTTCGTTCCAGGTCCATAAACCTCCAAACACCTCTGCTCGAACGCGGCAACCATCATCTTTGACACTTGACTGAAGAATGCCTTTGACAGTTGTCCATAAATCAGATTCGCGAATTCATATTCGATGTCCAATGTCACTAACGTCGCTTCCTCGTCGGGTGGTTGACGATGCAGCGTAGCTTCAACGTTCGCGGTAGGATGGGGAGAGGCGGAAGAGGCGGGCTGAAATCGCCAGGTTGTTATGAGACTTTTGAAGAGGGGTATTTCGGAAGATGCGATGGCCTGTATGAAAGACCAGGTGAGATCAGAATAAGGATTCGGATGGATGAAGGGACTTACCTGAACCATCTCATACGGTCGACATTCCACATTACTGATGTATGATTCTTCATATCCCATGAAACCCACAGTTAATTCTCCTCGCATTTTCAGGATATCAGGCAAGTCTTGAGTCGATGATTTCACGGTATTCCTCCCCAGGACGCGAGAGGTTACACAGTAGGGAACGAAACGGTGGTATGATTCTACATCGGCCACAATGTTGTATAATTGGGATTGTCGATATCTAAGAATTGAATGAGACTGAGTATTTAACAAGAAAAAAAGAAGGATCCAGGAGAACACACGGTAAAATCTTCCTCTCGTGATATTGATTCCCATTCTCCCGTTCCGAATCACCAGAGCCTTGGAATAAATCTCCAAACGTGTTGAATATCGTTCTGCTTTGTTGATAACGATGAAGAGGAGAGCGACATGCTCGAGGGGCCGGCGGGAGCCTCTTTTCGAAAAGAACGAATTGAGATCGACGCAGTCGAAGCATTTACTTCCGCGGCGGTTTATTTAGTGACGTGATACTTTCCACGTCAATATATGGAATAGATATATCAAAAGTAAACTCTTTGCAATGGCCGCCTGGCGAAATGGCATCGCGTCTGACTACGACTCGATTGAAATCAGGAGATTGCAGGTTCGACCCCTGCGGTGGTCATTTTTTCTCTTTAAGCCTACGTCCCGCTCTCCCACGCTTACACATTTTTATTTATTCAAGTTTTTTACTTCTACTCCCTCAATAAAAAATTCGCTTCCAATACTGAATGGATAAGCCTGTCATAGAAACCACTCCCCTACTTATAAGACTCTACAACTCGGAAATACACTCGCGTTAGCGAACAAAGCACGGTCCCTCGCGCTCGTATCCTCTCCTCTGTAAACTATCGGGCCGCCTGGTGAAATGGCATCGCATCTGACTAAGACTTGTCTGAAATCAGGAGATTGCAGGTTCGACCTCTGCGGTGGTCATCGTTCTGCTTTTGCTCCCAAAGATTTATAAGCGGTACCATGAACGAGGTTTGAATGCCTTGGACAACCGGAATATTATTTCGGACTTCGTAGAAGTAGTAAAGGAACAATCCAATAGACAAAGACAGCTTTCCACCTTATTTATTTATCTGAAGGAAGTCTATACTTGCATTCATCATCGTTGTTCAAGTTGATCTTATCTAGTCAAGAATATATCTATTAATTTAAGTTTGTGATGCGTTGCTTAGACTAATAGACCAATACCGCGAGCCATATGTTTTGGTAGGTTGTCATTCCTGAATCTTGGTATAGAACGTACTAGAGTAGACCCATAGATCAAACAGGAACGATACATATACCTTCAAGTTATATTCTTATTCGATTCACGTTCATTTTCCAACAATATTGATGGGGTAGTTAAATACCTGAGGCCTGAGTGCACCCGCCTCGGAACCAAAATTCGAGGGCCACACCCTCAGGGTATAAAGGAAAATGAGGGTGGGCGTTTACAGACATCGCTCCTTTCCCTCTTACCACCACTATCTCACCTCCTCTTCCCTTCCTTCCACTCGGTTCCTCCATCTCCTCTTCTTATATTCTTCTGCTTTTACTTTCGACGGCCAGTATCCACCGCGTGCTGCGACCGTTAACTAAATACGTTGGTGAGCTGGCCCCATTCTGTACGTGGCTGTCATGCAACGCCTTCAAGTTTCCTGGACTGGCGAGATGCTACTTGTCTTGTCTGCCAGCTGGCCCGATGCGCTTGAGGTATGTGCTAACAGCTACCCAGTCCCTCTCGTTCCCTTTGGGTTGAGTTTCATACTGGTCTTTATTTCTCGTTCCTTGGTGCTCGGCGCTCGCATCCTTCTGTCTACTCATTTCTTTCCACGGGCTGACTCATCGCGTGCTGTGATCGTTTATTAAATACATTGGTGGGCTGTCCTTATTCTCTATGTGGCCGCTATGCAACACCTTCGAGTTTCCTGGGCTAGCGAGATACTACTTGTCTTGTCTGCAGCAGGCCCGATGCGCTTGAGATATGTACTAGCAGTCACCCAATCCCTGTCGTTCCCTTTGGGTTGAGCTTCATACTGGTCTTTATTTCTTCTTGGTGCTCGCTTCCAGCCTTTCGTTTCTTGTCTTCTCAGTCCTCCCTGGACCCGAGGGAGATGAGGGTCCCTTCTTGTCCAGGGTGTTGCCACATCCTGGTTGACAAGGCGACTCTTCTTCTTGTCCTTTCTTTCCTTTTCTTCTGCTATTTTCCTTCTCAGTCCTCCCAGGAACATGAGGGAGATGAGAGTTCTTTGCCTTGTTGAGGTGTTGGCCACTTTGAGAAGGGACCTCTGCTTTTCTTTCATTTCATTTCTTCCTTCCACTTTTGATTATTCGCTTATCCATTTATTATATGGAACTTAGGGAAGTCGGGAGTAGAACTTTATACCTCGTATCCAACCTTCTGGTGTGGATTACTTATTCGGAAGAAAATATACCTGTGACGCATCAAAAAATCTCAGTGACTAGGTTTATAGAATAATACGCGGATAATACCCTCCATTCGTAAAGACATCCTTTCCTTCTACTTTGCTTCAATTCGGCATTAACCTAATTCGTACGCTGCCTCCTCCCCTCCCCTCCTATTGGCTCGCTCCCCAAAGGTCACCCAGTTACCATCTGTTACCATTAAGTAAGAGCACATGGCAAAAACGTGTCCGATACTATATAAAGCCTTTTACGTACGAAGAAGCCCAAAGAACCCAAGAAGCACAACCACTTGATTTAAGAATCCTATCCATAAGGCAAGAAATCCCCTGAGGCTAGAATTAAGTCTACCTTTACCCAGAGCTAGAAGCACCTACATGCTATAGCGGGTCTGCACTGTCTGCGGTAGACCAGCCGTGCTACCAGAGTCGCGCAGGGCCGAAGAACTCACACATTCCTAGCAAACTAGCGCTGCAAGCCTTAGCAGACTCATCCCCATCCCCATCATCTGAATCATGACGATTCAGAGAGGGAGTTTGAAGAATAAACCTTGAAGCGGCCTCGTGGCAGTAGTTGCGCCAGATTTCTCCAACTGCTTGCAATCCGTGAGGCGAGATGTGATTCACGAAGCCTTCTCCTGAGCATCCTCGACATTTGAGGTAATAGTTTCTTCTGAGAAAGATGTTGTTCCTATTTTCTCAGCCGGGTCTTAACCGAGATGAAGCCAACATTCCGTTGAATCGTATAGGTTCGCGAAGTTTAGACGAAATGATGTAAATTATGTCTCGATGAGAATTTCCAGGGTGGTCTTAATTAATATGGGTGAAGATGTACCAGAATCTGACGGGATCTGTCTCTCAACACGTGGGATGGCTGTGTAGCGTGGATAAGCGTCGATACTTGAAGAGCATCTTCTTTAGGCTCAGGAGCAAGATTGGATGACGACCGTTCATGATATCCGGCCCATGAAGTGGCTATATTTTCGTATTAGGAAAAATATTGAAGCATCCGAAGACAATTTTATCCAATGAGAACTCTTAGCATGGAGTTCGCCGAAAGCTGGAGGTCTAGCTAATAATGCCCCGCCAATTTACCGTAGGAGACGGGCTTTCCCAAGTGAAAGATCTATACGTACAGCTAAGGAACAGAGCCAAACTTCATAGAAAGTTGGTTATTAAGTTAGTTATTTATTAAGCACTCCCAAGCAAAATGAGTGTATTGTAAATACTTATCTGTACAAACCCCACCGGGGTCACTGCAATCAATCTCGCCGTAAAACTTGAACTGAGTCTAAGCAACCTGGCATATTTCTGTTCCGTTCTTCAAATTCTTCTGACGGCGCGTTAGTTTGCTGCATGCTACCCACTGCCTTCGAGGAACTCTCATGAGGCGCTCATGACAGGTGGCTGGCACCAGGACCTCTCTGGAACTTGCGGAAAGAATTCGCCCCACAAGTGCCTTCGATAATTAAGAGCGGAACATATTTACCGTTATGAAGTGGATGTGCCAACCAGATTCTCCCCTTCGGTGGCGGACTGTGGCTATAGTAGGAATATATAGTTTAGCCGCCAAGCAACTTAATTCAAACTAAATCGCTTTATTTATCGCTTTCAGTCTTTTTAGCATTTCCGTGTTCTAATATTGCATATTAATAACGCAATGAGTTGACGATCTAATTTCCGATTCCCAGATTCCTATATTGGAAACCTTAGAAGGCTGCAGGTGAGCAGGTATCTCAGTTCGGAAGTATTAGGGAACGCATCATAGTAAAATACATCCACCCTAGGAAATGAGTATAATTGCATCATGGGTGAAAGATGGATCTCAGCCAAACTAGTTGAAGACATAGACTCATGGATAGGCATCATTGACTACGTGGAGCTGGCAATCATATTAAAATAAAGCAAATGTAGAAAATACATACTGCTAGGCCAGAGATGTTGAAATATCCCAGAAAATAGCAATGTGCTTTTGGATCCATTCCCACCAGTTCAGGAGAGACGATAGTTACTGTTTGTATTGCCCCTTGCTTTGATGGCTGGGCGTAACTGTACGAGGCTCTTAACTCCCCAGATTGCACTGGGGGAACTCGGTGACCTTGGATCTCTGTAGAAATGACATCATCTTATAGCTTTCTGATACCGAAAGCACGCATAGGATTTGCATGAATTGTGTTCAACTACCTCCAGTCTTGCCTTTTGATACGACGAAGTATGTACACTTCTACAGCCGAAGCAGTAGATCACTTGACACAGATTAGGTTTGATTCTTCCACAAGCGATGAGTTTTCTGTGGAGTAGTAGGGAGAGTTCGGGCGAATTTAGTATTTTAGCTATGATACGAACTAGCCCTCGTTTATAAATACCAGGTGTGCAACACATGTGTCTACTGAACGTCAAGGTTAGCAATACTTTAGACGCGTGTGGTTCCGTTATATCACGAGCACGTTTTAATATGAGGAGGATGATTGAAAAAAGACAAGATCTAAGCAAGGTCCTTATTCCGGCTAGATCTAGGAGTAAGCTTCCAAGAAAAGGCAAGCCACTCAACGCACTGGGAAACTATTTTCGATGCCCAAGGCCGAACCATCTATGTAAAGCTGTAGAATCCGGTCCCTTTTCGCCCCGAGCACATTTTGATGTGAGAAGTAGTTTAAAGATGGAAGCAGGCCTCCCGGCGACAGAAGCCTCCCAAGGGACAGTGCAAGTACTCAAAAATACTCACTAATAACTAAAATGTGTCAGGATTAGGCGCAGTCGTAACTGTCAATGACATATCCGCACTATGTCGGCTCTAAGTAAAAGGCAGGGAGTCATCCATGGAGACAGAAAAGTGAGAGCTCTGAGTTACATCTCCGGTATTTAACCCGGGTATCATTCCTCTCTGGAATCGGATACCGACGCTATTTCGGCCCATAATCCACGATGGGACTATCGTCCCTGCAACCACCACTGTGATCATAACGGCTCGCGATGGCAAGAACAAGAGGTCCCTCTGCTTCTTCTTCGCCATCCAATCTCAGGTGCCAAGGTACGGGCTGTACTCGCAAAATACAAACGGCGGGTAATATCACTTTCAGGGTGGAGAAGGGTAGAGAACACTGGGAATGGGGAAGGTGGACGGAGATGGGAGATGGAGATTGAGACTTAAACGCACGCTACAGCAGAGGGAGCTGAGACCGGGATGAGTGCCTAGAGTTGAGTAATAAGCCTGCATATCTGTCTTTATTAATGTGTCCCTTAGGGAAGGCATATTTCGTAACAAACACCCGGCATATGTACGTCACGGGTCTTTATTGGTGGAGCTCACTGAGTTGTGGGACAGTTCAAATTGTCCGACGTCCTGAGTTCTCGCGAGCGCATGCATCTATCATAGAGCCTCGCCAACTCGCTCAGGCCCCTTAATCCGTCGCTTCATAATCGGCACGTTCAGATGCTGACAAGAATGGTGGAGATGCGCATCAGTGGCGATACGTATCTAGCAGACGAGATACAAATACACGTAAATTCTAAATGAAACAG